TCTAGTTCCTTTAGGTGAGCTGTTAGATTTTGGACTTGCTCTTTTTCTAATTTCTTGAAATAGGCCTGGAGTGCAATGTACTTTCCTCTTAGGACTACCTTTGCCACATCCCATAGATTTTGGATTGTTGTTTTTCATTTTCATTTGTTTCCATATATTTTTTAATTTCCTCTTTAATTGCCTGATTGCAGGCCTCGTTTCCAGATCTCAGTCCACACACCTCATTGAAATTGCCCGAATTATAAACTCGCAGGCGAGCTCCTCAGAGCAGTTTCAAGCCTCTCGCCTTCCCCCTGGGGATCGAGCCAGAAGCCGCTGCTCCCGTCTCCTCCAGGTTGGGCTGGCGAACGAGAAGCAGTTTCACCCGGGGTCGCCTGGGACCAGTGTGTCCTGCCTAGGGTCAGCTGGACAGTAGGAACCCGGGTCCCTCTGTGTCCCTTCACCCAAAATATAAACTCGCGGGCAAATCTCTCAGAACAGTTTTGAGTCTTTTGCCTCCCCCTTAGGGATCCAGCTGAGCCAGAAGCACAAAGGCATGGCTGCCATGCATACCCTCCAGGTCGAGCTGGCAAACGGGGAGCAGTTTCACCCGGGGTCGCCTGGGACCAGTGTGTCCTGCCTAGGGTCAGCTGGACAGCAGGAAACTGGATCCCTCTGTGTCCCAAGCGGAGGTTTTTCTCTTCTCCAGCGACAGGGACAGTGTCTTGAGCAGTTTCGGCCACTCTTTTCTCCCCCCTAAACTCACTGTGGCTCCCTGCTGAGGGGGATCCCCCCCCCCCCCCCGTGTCTCTGGTCCCAGCCCGATTTTATCTTTCCCAGTTTGCACTCCTGCTAGAAGGTTTTCTCAGCGGACTCGGTCTCCTTTTCCTCCTAAACTCCTGGATTCTGTAAGGGTTCCTATGGCTTCAGGCCTTCTCCGTGTGAGATATGGGGGTGAGTGAAATGTATGGAGCTCCCTACTTCTCCACCATCTTGCCCTCTTCCCACTCACAAATTATTTTTAAAGAAAACAAATGAGAGGAAATTTATTCTATGAGATATTATTGTATATAATAAACCTACAATCATAAAACAGTCTGAGAGAAACACCAGAACAGATCATTTTTTCTTAACAAAACAAGAGTGAAATGTATACAAATAGACTCAAGTGTGTACTAGAGAGTGTTATATGGAAAAGCTAATATTTTAAATCAGTAAGAAATAATTATTTTTTTAAAAAAATAAAAGGCATTGGAATATCTAGATAACCTTTTAAAAATAAGATTAGGTGAGATTTCTATCACAAACAATCTACCAAAATAAAATACAGAAAACTTAAAGTGTTAAGGGTTTTAAAAATACACACAAACACATACATACAAGTATGCTACATAAATAAGTCCTATAAATCAATAAGAATAAGATGAACAATCCAATATGAAAATGGGCAAAAGATGTGAACAGCTACTTTGTAAAAAAAAAGATAGCCAAATGGCCAATAAGTATCTGTAAATGTGCTCAACATCATTAGTTATAAGGAAAATACAAATGAAAACTCCACTGAGAACCAACAAACCAGAACAGCCAACAGTAAAAGGCAAACATGCAAAGCACCTTGAACTCTTATGCATTGTGGTGAGAATGTATACTGGTACTACTATTTTGGGAAACTGTCTGGCAGTATCTATAAGGGCCAAATATGAGTCTATTCAACGACCCAGGAATCCTATACTCTGGTATATTCCAGAGAAATAAGCACTTATGTCCACCAAAAGACACATACCAAAAAAGTTCCAAGCTGTAAACAATCCAATGTCAACCAATATCAGCAGTTTGCAGTATAATCATACAATGGAATACTGCTCAGAAGTAATAAATAATATCCAACAAGAGTCATACTGCATGATGTTCAAAAGTCAGAGAAACTAAGCTATGGAAACACAGATTAGAACAGTACTTAACTGCTAAAATATAAAAACAGCCTATCTCTTGATCTGGATGGTGTATGCATGGATGGATACATACGTAAAAATTCATCAAGCTTTGGGGCACCTGGATGGCTCAGTCAGTTGAGTGTCTGACCTCAGCTCAGGTCATGATCTCGTGATTCACGGATTTCAGCCCCATATCTGGCTCTGTGCTGACAGTTCAGAGCCTGGAGCCTGCTTCAGATTCTGTGTCTCCCTCTCTCTTTGCCCTCCCACACTTGTGCTGCCTCTCTCTGTCTCTCAAAAATAAATAAACATTTTTAAAAAATCATCAAACTTCACAGTTTTGTGCACTTTACTCTATGGAAGTAAAAAAGAAATACATACATACTGAAAAGTACTAAAAGAAAATACAGTTGGGGAACATTTATGTTATCTTGAGAGACAGGGAAGGTCTCTGTAAGCATGACCAAAAGATAAAAACTACAAAGAGAAAAATGAATTTAACTTCATAAAAATAAAAAATATATAAAACTCTACATGGCAAACAAGACAGGAAACTTTATTTGCAATATTTGTATGTAATAAAAAATTAAAAATTTTAGTATATAGGAAGTTCTCACAAATCAATAAGGAAAAGAAAAGGGCATGACTAGGACATTTACCAAAAACAAAAACAAATAGCCATTAAACACATGAAAAGAATACAAATTAAAACAAGATACTATTTTTCACTTATCAGACAGGCAAAAATAAAATATATATACAGAATTAGTGTTGGTATTGAGAAATAGCACTCCAGTATATTAATGGTGGAGTCATAGAATGGCTCAACTTTTCTGAAGGACATTTTAAAATACAATACTTTCCAAAGACAATGGCTCAACTTTTCTGAAGGACATTTTAAAGTACAATACTTTCCAAAGACCAGAATGAGCACATTTCCTTAGCCAAGCAATTCCACAACTAAAAATTCATCTTAAAGAAAAAAACATGACAAATTTGTAAAATATCTGTACAATGATGGTCAATGCAGCACTGTTAAAAGCAACAAAATAAATTCATATAATAGATTACATATAAATTTTAAACTAGCTACTTTTTATGAAGCACATACAAACTAATTACATATATCATCTCATTTAGTTGTCACAAGAACTCTGAGAGCTATTACTCTATTCCCATTTTCATCTGAAGATGAGAAAACTGAGGATCAGATAAATAATGATATTTGCCCACCCTCAGCAGTCTAGGGAATGACAGATACTGAATTAGAGCAAACTCGGTCTGACTCCAAAAGCCAGTGTTCTTTAATTTAGATTTATTGACAAGGAAGAACATTTATACCACAGTGTTAAATGAAAATGTAGTTTATAGAACAGTTGCACAGTTTGATTCCATTTTGTAAAATATACACATAACTATAACTATTAGATGTATAGATTTGCAGGGGGAAATTCTACAAAGATATACATTAAAATGTTAATAAAAGTTATCCTTTGGGTGTTTGGGGAATTCAATTTTTTCTTTATGCTTGTTTTTCTTTTCTACAGTGAATAAATTTAAGTTATAAATAGAAAAACACATCTACAAAACCAATACCCCTTTGAAATTGTAAACTATAGCCTATCATCTTTTACTATAAATGCAGTCTATTTGCTCCACACATTTTTAAAAATGTTTTTATTTACTTTTGAGACAGAGAGAAAGTATGAGCTGGGGAGGAGCAAACAGAGAGGAGACAGTAACAGGAATGGAAGTGGGCTCTGCTCTGACAGCAGAGAGTCCAATGCTGGGCTCAAACTCATGAGCGGTAAGATCATGACCTGAGCAGAAGTCCGAGGCTTAGCCAACTGGGCCACCCAGGCGTCCCACTCCACACACTTTTAAATACATAAATGAGGCAGATCCTTCACATATTTATACTCAACAAACCCTTTGTGAGCACCTACTATGTTCTAGATACTGTTACATAAATGGTATTACTTCAGTGTACCTAGATTCTTTTTACTCCTAAGTGTGGCATCAATGGTACCCACTCTGCCTTTCATATCTTGATCACAATTATTTGCATTTGGATTTTAAGTGATATCTCTAATTATCGAATGCAATTAAACCCATACTAAAGGAATAGTTGGTATTATACTACCAATGGCTGGCCTGCCTCAGTGGCTTTAGGCTTTGAAGAGTCAGACAAATGTTTCATCACTTACCACCTCTGTACTGCCCTATTCCTGAAAGTAGAGGGCATACTGGCCTGGCGTGGATTCTTAACGTTTATTTCAAAACGGGAGGGCCAGATCTCAAAACCCAGCCCCCACCAGGTGCAAATTCCCCACTTGTTAAATATTTCTCCCCCCCCCCCCCCACGTTTCTTACTCCCTTTCTTTTTGGAACTCTAGGCCCTAATTCTTTCTGCTATGTCAGTTAAATGGGGGTGATTTTAGAACCCATTTCTCATTGGATCTCCTCTCTTTAGCCCTCCAGTCATGTATGTCTAATTCCGCAAAGCATACAAACAAAAAACACACCTTGGGGGTTCTCATAGCCCCGAGTTTCCACAGCCAGGGCAGCTCTACCCAAAAGGCAGGAAAACAGCTGCTCATCTGTCCTTGGAGACAAAGGACAGGATGAACCCGCAGCAACGAATGCTCAGAGGTGCGTGGTGGCGAAGGTGGGGAAGAGAGCAAACCTCTCCTGTCTACGCCTTATTGTGAGGAAAGATGCATCTGACTTTGCTAACACAGCTCTTAGAGGGACTAAACTCTTTCCTGGTACCACTGAAAACGGTACGGGCACTGTACAGGCAGGATTTTTAAATGGTTTAAAGAATTTAAAAGGAAAAAACACAGGGATTGGCCTCATCACTACAGTACCGCTTAGAGCCTAACGCAGAAGAGCATTTAGCAGGACCATTGACCTGCACAGTGCCCAGCACTAACACCATACCGGGAGCACCTGTGAATAGGCCGGAGCGGACGAAGCGCGGATCTGATTGGGTGGCAGCCCAGGGCGCAGTGCAGGTGCGCCTCCTCCGCGCCGTCCGCCGCCGCTACCTCGCTAACACGTGGCCCGCGATTAGAGGAGCGGTACCTGCGCGGTCCGGTTTCCGGCACCCGCCGGGAATCTTCACAAGAACGCTGCGAGTACCGCTCTGGGGCACCGATTCACAGAGCCCCGAGCCTAGTGGCTGGGCGGTGGCGACTGTCGCGTGTGGCTATCACCACTTCTCAGGAGAAGGGCGTCCGCCCGGCGCTCCTGGCCACACTGCTTGTAGGCGGACTCGGCACCCGCGGCTCTAGGCAGCCCCGACCTGGGCAGGGGTGGCGCCCGCGCACCCGAAAGAGCCTGCGCGCTCGGAGGCCAAACAAAGCCCGCGGGCAACGACGTTGCGCGCCCCTGATGGTCACCTAGGCGACCAGCTTGGCCCCACCCATTGCGTCTGGCAACCAAGACCAGCGAGGGCAGAAAATGGAAAAACTTCTCAAAGAGGCTCCTGAAGAGTCCTTGGAACCTAAAAGCACAACCAAGTCCCCAGATGACAGACGCACAGACAGCAAGGAAGACAACTGGGTGAGCCAGAATGAAGAAGAGGCAGATGACCAGACTGATCAAAGAAGGGCTGAGCAGCCTGCCCAAGGAGTGTCTGGACAGACTGACCACAAAGTATATGAACCCACTGGACGCCAAATATCTGATGAAGCTGATCTCAGAGCATCCAACCATGCTAATGTTGCTCAGGGTGGTACATTTGATCAGGATGACCAAAGAATGTATGAGAAGACCTCTGGCCAACCCCATCATGACAGCCAGGTGTCTCTTCTGCATGGACAAAGAACTTCTGTACATATTGAACGCAGAATGTCCAACCAGACTGAAGGAAGATCTTCTGAACAGATTGACAATAAGTTGTCTAACCAGTCCAACCAAGCACCTTCTGGACAGATTGACCACCAAATGTCCAGCCAAGCTGAGCAAAGAACTTCTGAACAGACTGAGGGCAGATTGTCCGGCCTGGTTGAACGAAGAAGTTCTGAACAGACTGAGGGCAGATTGTCTGGCTTGGTTGAACAAAGAACTTCTGAACAGATTGGCTATAGACCATCTAACCAAGTTGACCCCAGAACGTCTATAAAGACTCACCACAAAGTGTACGAGGAAGCTATTGAACTAGCAGCTGAACAGCAAACTGCTGACCAGGCTGACAGTAGTGCTCATCACCTTACAGTGAATAAGACTGACTCTGGCGATGATTACAAGGTTGACCACTTAATGGGTGAAAAGAATTACTCCAGAAAGGACTATCTGGCAGACGATGAAGCACCTGGCCAGTACAATGGCAGAATATTGACCCGATTTGGTGACAGCAAGGAGAACAAAAAGGCTGAATTCAGAGTAGAACCCTGCAAATTTGAGGCCAGAAGAATAGACCATGACAGTTCCTGGGTTTCAGCTGAAACTGACACAGAAAGTGTAACCGATCTGCAAGCATTTGACTTATTTGATGCCAGATTCTCCAGTAATTTCCAAGCAAAAGACCAAGTCTATTCCCAAAGATTTCCCTCTATCTCATCCAAGCTGGACTATGTCTTTGGTCAAGAGAAAACTAAAGCCATAGAAACCAAACCTGTAGGTTAAAGGGGCATTTGATACCACCTGGGAAATCGGAGGCCAAGCCAGGGGTTTGTTGTGGTGGCATGGGGGCAGGACAGGAAGAAGGCACAGGTTGGATCAAAGACAAGGAATAAACCTACACATTACAGTTTATTCGGGAAGGGCAGGGGATTTGGGAAGGGCAGGAGAAGGGGGGGAATAGATAGGTTGCCTCCTCTGCTACTGGAAGGCCATTCAGAAAGGATCAATGAACAAATATTCATGAGTCTTGGTTCTGCTGCCTACTCTGTCATTTCCCTTCTCTGGGCTTCTACCAAAGGAAAGGAATTTGGAGTCAATTGGAGATCCCTGTGAAGGGAAAATTATTTGAAGTAGATTGGAGATGCCTAAGGTAGTTTCCAGGACTTGAGGTGCATTATATTGTCAGGAGGATCAGCCAGGTTTGTCATCGTAATCTTATCTTGAATTCCTGGTATCCAGGTTCCATCAACACCAGATTCCACTGATAAACAGCAACAATAACAACAAAGCTTCCTGGGGTTTTTCAATTTATTAAAGACTCTCTGGGGTGGGGGTGGGGGGTATATTTCTATTGCAGGATGATATTCCAGAATCATATTTCCAAGAAGGAAAGAGATCTCTTGGATACGGTCAGACTTATAGGGGGCAATTCCCTCCTATTGTATATGAAGATCCTTATCAAGTTGCACTACGATACATGGAGAAACACCACATTCTGCAAATATTTCAGGTAAATCTCTCAATCCCTTTCTTTAAGAGTGAGTTTTATAGTAATTACAAGGTAACAAACAAACTTGGACCTGGCTTTTAGAGGTACAGGAATGGGCCTTTGTTATAAAGGGGATATAATCTCATTGAGAAGTCAATAAATGCACTAAGATGTATTTAACCAAAAGTAGTAAATGATAAACACCAAAGAATGTTATTTACCATAATGCGAAGCCCTTCAGAGGGATTAGAGATCAGGCAGGTTAGTTGATATGGAAAAATATGGCCAAGGGTTAGAGTTTGACTCAGACTGGGAAGGAAGGACAAAATATTGGCAATTGAGAGAAAAAAGCTTTTTCAGTCAGGTGTGTAATACTTTCAAAAGATAACCAACCTGTGACCATCTAAAACTCTGCATTGTTTAGGGGGGAAAAGAAGTAGTGAAAAGTTGTTTTTAATTCTTGAAATTACAAATCTTATTTTTTTATTGTTTTTAATGTTTTCATTTATTTCTGAGAGAGAGACAGCATGAGCAGGGGAGGGTCAGAGAGAGAGGGAGACACAGAATCTGAAGCAGGCTCCAGGCTCTGAGCTAGCTGTCAGCACAGAGCCCGATGCGGGGCTTGAACCCATGAACCGTGAGATCATGTCCTGAGCCAAAGTCTGACGCTCAACCGACTGAACCACCCAGACGCCCCAAAATTATAAATCTTATTGACCTCCAGATATGGGGCTGGAGCCTCTTTTAAAGTATGAACTTTCCTTGGCCAATATAGAATTGTAAGAGATTATTACATTTATAACATATTTGGGTTTTGGTGGGCTGTTTTTGTTTTCATTTGCCTGACATGTTTATTTTTATGTTAATATCATTAACCAACAAGGCACATGTGTGTATATTCTAACAGTGTACATGTAGTAACTTTGTGGTTAGAAACGTGGAAAGTAAGAATGACCCACCTCAGGTGAAAACATTTAAACTAGGAAAAAAATCCATTTTAACTGGAAAAGCTTAAGTTTAAAGAAATAGGATGTAGGGGCGCCTGGGTGGCTTAGTCGGTTAAGCGTCCGACTTTCGCTTAGGTCATGATCTCGCGGTTCGTGGGTTCGAGCCCCGCATCGGGCTCTGTGCTGACTGCCAACTCAGAGCCTGGAGCCTGTTTCAGAGTCTGTGACTCCCTCTCTCTGACCCTCCCCTGCTCATGCTGTCTCGATCTCTCTCTCTCTCTCTCCTAGAAATAAATTTAAAAAAATTAAAAAAAATTTTTAATAAAAAAACGATAAAAAAATAAAAAAGAAATAGGATGTAGAAGCAAGAGCACAAATTATGCAATCTGTTAGCCCAAAGCTCCACCTAACTCTGCCATCTTTGTGATTTGAAGAAAATTAATAAACAGCAAATCTCCATTTCCTCATATAAAACAGAGAGGAGTGATTTTACTTCATTAACCCTGCTCTATGCCTTTTCTTTCTTAAAATGTCTTTCTGTGGGGGAGTGCTAATGGCTGGGTTTTCTGGCTTTAATCAAAGAACTACTCATTATTAAACTGAAGGATGAAAGCTATTGAAGAGAGTACGATTCAAATCATTCTATAATTTTCTTCATATGTCAAGGAAAAATAATACTTGTGAATGTAATGTTATTGTAAGAAAAATTAGTTATCAAATATGTGATCAATAGAAACATATGAAATACATCATTGGCATGGTACATTTAATGGATGTTAAATATTTTATACCTGAAACTTGCCCCATTGTTATTCCCTGCAAATGAGAATTCTGCTTACTTTATTTTAATGTTTTGGTTTATTAAACAACAACAAAGTATGGAAGTGAATTTCTAAAGTTTTGTCTATGTTTTCTCATTTATCGTTTCAAACACTAAATATGTTTTTCACCTTTTAGAATCAGAGGACTCACAGGGAACATGCTATGTAAAGATATATAGTGTTTTTAATTTATTCAAAAGGCTTTTCTTTTGAATAAAGATAAGGGATTAATTCACTAATTTCTCAGTCTAGCAAAATCGGAATTCTCAAAACAAAAACTTTCTCCAAAACTGTCTCAGTACCTGTTTGATCTTGGAAGCTAGAAAAGTATCCATTGCTGTTATTACTAAATTATTATTCCTCTAAATTTTACCATCAGGCAAATGCCTGATTTTATCAGTAGTAAGAAAGTAATTTGTCACTTTATAGAGATACATGAAGGCTATGGTGCATACTAGGTCAGTGCATGAGATTGCTTCACATACAACGTGACCACATTACTTTAGTTCACAACCATAATGCCACACCTCATGTTCTCTCTCAGCAGATCACTGAAAACTTAGTCTATGAAAAGCCAGAGGACCCCCTGAGTTTTATGCTGTACAAGGTATGGAATAGGAGAAAAAGAAAACCTTTTAACTCTATTGTAAAATGTAGCACACGTACACATGTATAAAACAAAACACGTACAACTAACTGGATTATCATAAAGGGACCACTTTAATTTTTTTAATATTTATTTTTGAGGGAGAGAGAGAGAGCTCATGCACAAGTGAGGAAGGGGCAGAAAGAGGGAGACACAGAATCTCAAACAGGCTCCAGGAGGCTCCGAGCTGTCAGCACAGAGCCTGATGCAGGCTTTAATCTTGAACCTTGAGATCATGTCCTGAGTCAAAGTTGGATGCTTAACTGACTGAGCCACCCAGGGGCCCCAACGGAGCACTTTTATTTTTTTACTTTATTTTATTTTTTTCTTAAATAGTTCATTGTCCCAACGGAGCACTTTTAAAGCGTTGAATGCTAATGTCTTTTTAGCATTCGCTATTCTGATGGATTAATAGTAATCACTGCAACTTCAAGCTTCTTTTTCCTGATTACTAAGGCAGTTGCATACCTTTTCATTTGTCTATTGGCCATTTTGAAATATTTCTTTTTCTATGGTATTTTTTGTCTTTTTCTTACTCATTTATAACAGGCTCTCATTCCTTCTGACTTCCAACTGGGTTAACCCGACGGGAAAACCTAGAGGAAGATTGGAAGGAGGAAAGAAGGTGAGATCAAGTTTATTTCCCTGGGCTTTTCCTTTATGATCTGTCTTGAGCTGTCTGGAGGTCATTGCTCCTCTCAAGGCATCTTTTTACATGACTCTTCGCTTCTGAATTCCAGTAATGTCCTCTCCTCTTGACCTTCGAGGTTAAGAGGTTAGCTCCACTTTTACTGGCTTTGGATTATTGCGTTATCTCCTGTGACTCCCCTATACCTAATTCTTTTAAATGCCAGTGTATTTTTCACTGCGTACATTATAATTTTTGTAGTTTCATCCCTAGGAGTTTAGCTGGTGTCTTTTCTAGAATGTTGATGTCTCTACTTTACTTTTTTTTTTTTTAATGTTTGTTTATTTTGAGAGAGAGAGAACAGGGGAAAGGGCAGAGAGAGAGAGGGAGACACAGAATCCGAAGCAGGATCCATGCTCTGAGCCATCAACACAGAGCCCGATGTGGGGCTTGAACTCACAAGCCATAAGATCATGACCTAAGCCAAAGTCAGACGCTCAACCCATTGAGCCACCCAGGTGCTCCTCTACTTTACTTTTTAAACAGAGAATGCAGTTATAATAACTTTTAATTTTCCTGCTTCTTTGTATGCCTAGTAATTTTTTATTGAGATATAACTGACACAGGATATTATATTAGTTGTAGGTATATGCCTGGTAATTTTTGATTGATGTAAGATAATTATGAGTTTTGCCTTGGTGGGTGCTAGATTTTGTTGTTGTTGTTGTTGTCTTGTAAATGTTCTGGGACTTTATTTTGGGGCCTAGCTAATTTACTTGGAAATAGCTTGATCTTTTCAGATTTTGCTTTTAGGATTTTTTTTAGAGTGAAGCAGATCAATTTTCAGTCTAGGGCTAATTATTCCCCACTACTGAGGCAAGATTCTTTTGAGTATTCTACCCAATGCCCCACGAATCATGAGGTTTTCCAGTTCAACTGGTGGTAATAGGCACTATTCCTGGTTTGGTTCTTTCCATGGCGTCTGGTAGTTTTCTCATATATGTGCAAGGGATTACTTGAAGGGGACCTTCTACAGATTTATGGAGTTCTTTCTGTACCATTCTCTCCTCTCTGGCACTCTTCCCTGTGAACCATAACTGTCTTAATTTCCCTAGGATCTCAGCTCCATCGTCTCAACTCAAGGGTCTGCAGGGCTCCTGTTGGGTTCTCTTTTCCTACACACTAAGGCCAGGAAATTTTCTGAAAACAGTAAGGTACATGCACATTTATAATTATTATATCTTTCTGATTAATTAACTCTTTTATCATTATGAAATGTCCATCTTTCTCCTTGGTTATATTCTTTGCCTTGAGGTTTATTTATTGAAGTTTATTCTCCCTCATATTAATATAGCCAGTCCAGCCTTACAATTTACTTGGTATATATTTTTTTACCCATTTATTTGCAACCTATCAATGTTTTATATTGAAATTGTGTCTCTTGTAAGTACCACATAGTTGGGTCTTTCTTATCTTATATGATAATCTCTGCTTTTTAACTGAACTATTTAGAACAAGGGTAGGCAAACTATGGGCCAACTGTTTTTAAATGGCCCAAAAGCTAAGAGAGAATTTACCCTTTTAAAGTGGTTGAATTCGGGTGCTGGGGGGCTCAGTCTGTTAAGCGTCCAACTTTGGCTCAGGTCATGGTTTCAGGATTCTGAGTTTGAGCCTCGTGTTGGGCTCTGTGCTAACGGCTCAGAGCCTGGAGGCTGCATCAGATTCTGTCTGTCTGTCTGTCTATCTCTCTCTCTCTCTCTGCTCTTCCCCACTCATGTTCTGTCTCTCTGCGTCTCTCAAAACTGAATAAATGTTAAAAAAAAAAAAAAGACAAAATAAAGTGGTTGAAGGAGGAGGAGGGGGAGGAGGAGAAAAAAAAAAGAGAAGGCAAAGGAAGAAAGAGAAGAAAGTAAGTGAAAGAAGGGGAAAGGGGAGGGGAATTCAGCAGCAGCAACAGATAGTTTGTGTCCTGCAATGCCTAAAATGTGTATTATTCAGCTCTTTTCAGAAAGTTTGCCAACTCCTGGTTTAAACCATTAGTGTTTAACCTAATTATCAGTATGGTTGAATTTAGAGCTCTCATTTTATTATTTTTCTTTTTATCTCTTATTCTTCTGTTCTTCTTTTATTGCCTTCTCTTGGATTATTTGAATAGTTTTAGTATTCTACTTTAATTTAGGTATTGACTTTTAGCTTATACCTATTATTTTTTACTGATCACTCTAGGAGTTACATCTATATCCCTAACTTTTCACAGTTCATTTATTTATTTTGTTTGTTTGTTTGTTTTAAGGAACTTAAGAGGAAAATGTAATCTTTTACATTTATCCAGATAATTGCTATTTCTATTGTTCTTCCTTCATTTGTGAATTTCCATGTTTCTCTCTGAAATTATTTCATTTCAGCCTGAAAAACTTCTTTCAGCCCTTTTTGTATTGCTGCTGGCAGAGAACAGTCTTGGTTTTACTTTATCTGAAAATCTATTACACATTCTTGTAGAAAATTTTTGCTGGATATAGAATTCTGAATTGACTTGTCCAGCTCTTAAAAATGTAGTTTCCTTACTTCCTGGCCTTCATAGTTTTGGAGGAGAAATCCACAATCATCCAAATTGTGATCCCCTGTAGATAGTGTCCCATTTTTTACTGGCTTCCTTCACAATCTTGTCATTATCTTTAGTTTCCAGAAGTTTTATCATGGTATTCATTGGAATTCATGATTTTGGGGGTTAGCGGAGCTGCTTGAATCTTTATTTTAAGGATTTTAAATTTTATTTATTTATTCATCTATTTAGAGAGCGCACAAGCTGGGGAGAGGCAGAGAGAGAAGGAAACAAATGGGTGGCTCAGTTGGTTAAGTGTCCAACTCTTGATTTCATCTGAGGTTATGACTTCATCGTTTGTTAGAGTGAGCCCCACATTGGGCTCTGCCCTGACAGTGCTGAGCCTGCTTGGGATTCTCTCTCTCTCCCACTCTCTATCCCTCCCTGACTCACTCACATGTGATCTCTCAAAAAACACACTTAGAAAACCTAGAATGTACAACCCATTTCAAGTGGAAAAGATTATTTTCCTTCTTCCTTTTTGATTTGGTTGCCTTTTATTTCTTTGCCTTGCCTAATTGCTCAGGCTAGGACTTCCAGTACTATGTTCAAGTGGCAACAATGGGTATTTTTGCCTTGTTCCTGATCTTAGAGGAAAAGCTTTTAGGTTTTCACCACTGAGTATGGTGTTGGCTGTGGGTCTTTCATAGATGGCCTTTATTTTGTTGAGGTAACTTCCTTCTATTCCTATTTTGTTGAGAGTTATTCTCACGAGAGGATGCTAAATTTTGTCAAATGCCTTTTCTGGATCTATTAAGACAATCATGTGATTTTTATCCTTTATTTTGTGAATGTGGTATATCACATTAATTGATTTTAAATCATAGTACATAGCTGTTATTGGCAGGATTCGTTTTTTTAAGTTTATTTTTTTTTAAATGTTTTATTTATTTCTAGGAGAGAGAGAGAGCGAGACAGCGTGAACAGGGGAGGGTCAGAGAGAGAGGGAGTCACAGACTGAAACAGGCTCCAGGATCTGAGCTGGCAGTCAGCACAGAGCCTGACGCGGGGCTCGAACCCACAAACCGCGAGATCATGACCTAAGCGAAAGTCGGACGCTTAACCGACTAAGCCACCCAGGCGCCCCTTAAGTTTATTTATTTTGAGAGAGAGACAGAAAGTATAAGTGGGGGAGGAGCAGAGAGCAGGAGAGAGAGAATCCCAAGCAGGCTCCATGCTGTCGGCTCAGAGCCTGACACAGGGCTCGATCTCATGAAGTGTGAGACCATGAACTGAGCTGAAATCAAGAGTTAGGTGCTTAACTGACTGAGCCACTAGTTACCCCTGCAGGATTTGTTTTTTTAAGTGCTTACTCTTGCGTATGGAAGGCAGATCTTACTTTTTTGTATAAAACATATACATTTAAGGTTTTATCACAGAAGTTTAACTATGTGGTATTTTCACTTATTTAGTTCAAAATAGTTTCTAATTTTCATCATTTTCTTCTTCAACTCATGGGTTTAGAGACATTATTTATATAGATTATTAAATACTGGATTTTCTAATTTCCCATTGGTTAATGATTTCTAAGCCAATTGTGCTTCATTCATATAACAAGATTTCAAATATTTGAAATGTGGTTTTTTTTTTTTTTTGCTTTATGATGCAACATATGGTTAATTGTTAATGAATTATTTGGAATTGAAAAAAACTTATTCTGAAGTTATTAGGAAGTATTTAAAATATATCTATAAGATCAAGTTTGCTAAATATGCTGTTTATGTCTTCCAATATGATTGTCAATTTGCCTGTCTCCTATAGTTCTGTTAAGTTATGCTGTGTGTATGTAGTTAAGGTTATGTTATTAGGTACATATGAATTGGAATTCTTATATCTTTCTTTTAAATTGACCTATTTATCACTAAGAGATATAACATGAACTTTAACTACTTTTCTCAATATTGTTAAAGCTATACCAGATTTATTTCAGTCAATGTTTAAATGATATATATTTTTCCGTCCTTATTACTTTTAACTTGACTGTTGTTAAGTTTTAGATGCCTTATAAATTTTTATCATTATTTAAATCTGACAAACTTTTAATTTAGCTCATATATATTTGTTGTTATTAGAGATATGTGTGAATTTACATCTATTGTCCAACCATATGCTATTTATTGGTTCTACCTGTTCTATTTCTTTTCCTCTACTTTTTGCCTTCCTTTTTTAATTTTTCTATTAGTTTAGAAGTTATACACTCTTAATTTTTTTTGATGTCCCATTAGGATGATTTCAAAATGTAATAGACTTTATATTCTTAGAGTAGTTTTGGGGTTTGCATAAAAATTGAGCAGAAAGCCCAGTGAGTTCCATTCACTCCCTTCTCTTTTCCCAATTTTCTACCTCTAGTTTCCCCTATATTGACACCTTGAATTAGTGTGCTACAGTTCTTACAGTGATGAGCCAATATTGATACATTATTATTTGCTGGAGTCCATGTTTTATGTTAGGATTCTCTCTTTGTGTCATGAATTCTATAGGTTTTGGCAAATGTGTATGATATGTATCTAAAATTACAGTGTCAAACAGAAGAGAGTCACTGTCATAATAATTCTTTTCAATATTTTTAATAGTTCCCCTAGAAATTACAACAGGTATTCTTGACTTATCAAAGTCTAAGTTATTTGTACTTGGTCAGTAGAAGGACTTTTGTATTTTAAATTTCTATATATTTTAATACCACAAGATACAGTAATTCTAAGTTGTCCAAAATTGCAAGTGGAAAAAAATTCTTTTTCATTCTCCTCAGGTACAGGAAATGATAGAAAACAGAGACAAATGTGAAACCTACAAAGAATAAATTTCTCCTCAACATTCTCCTCAGTATCAACACTATGTTCTGTTTCTTGCTCTGAAAAATGATTTTTGAATCGTCATTGGAAGTGAATCTGCCTAAATATGTTCTTAATTTTTAAGTAAAAGTCTATAAGCTATCCACTTCAAAAATTCATGTAATAGTTAGAGATACCTCAGGCTAATCATGCAAAATATATACGTGTAATACTTATCCATGCCTTGATATTTCGATACTCATTCCTCCAAAGCACTGCACGATAACAAGTTCACAAATCCCAAAGAGGACCAAGAAAAGAATATTAGCAATTTACATGTAGTTCTCATAAAGCATACAACTCTATCATGTCTCTGAGCTGTGGATAAAATTTTCAAGCAAAAAATATGTGGAAAATAATTTTTAACAGCACTTTTTTCCTCTCTTAATGAAAGGTGATTGTTGTCATCTCTTTTTTCCTTGTTTCTTAATACCTCCAACATATTTTTACTATTTTCCTCTTTGACCTCATCTGTTATATTCTGCCATTAGTGGATGTGATTTAATCTAATCCTAGAGATACCTCTCTTCTGATTTTTAACCTACAGCAAAATTCAAACATGTTATACTACTATGTACACACCTGTGAGAGGGCAGAATCCCACTTCCTCAATACCTTTATCCTTTGAAGAGTATCCACACTGTATGGAATGTGTAGCCAGTAAAACTGGTATTTAAATGCAAAAAGCCTTTACATAGTCTGTCTGGTATGAGAAGATCTGCCTAGCATTCATAACTGAGATGACCATCTACTACTATTTTTTAAAGCTGAACCTGTTGTTTAATTTCTCTTTTAACATTAAAGCAGAATTGATTCTTTATACTGTTTAACTGCTGACTTGATATAATTATGTGGTTGCATTGCAATGAATTAAATTTCCGTTTGAACAATCAAGTACAAATCCTACTTTTTTTATACCTGCATGTCATTTCTAATAATTATACTAAAAAAATCTCCTAATAACTTCAGAATTTTATTAAACTCCTTTAGTTGCCCACAAAATGTGCATGTGCTTAGACTCCATTAATGTTCTCCCCTCAGATAAGGAAACTGTCTGTTGATTGCGGGCTAGCAAAACCAGGTGAATGTGGATAACCTATGGGGAAAGTTTGAGTGATGTGACTGAGGTTGTAATTCATCAGCTGGTGGAACAAAATAACCCAAAGATTGAAGGGCCAACACTATTACTGGTGATTGAAAAGTTGGATATTATCATTAACTTCTGAAATTAAGTATTAAATTTAGTTCACTGGTTTTCAGCCCAAATACCAGAGAGCTTTGATATATTTCCCAAAGCAGAACACTTCAGACCAGACCATCCCAGTCATCCAGCACTTCTTATTAGCTTTCTCTGTGATATGTTTCACAAGTGTCATTTTGACCTTTTGCGGTGAGGCAGTAGACCAGAGGGGATGAGCTTGGTATGGTCCCTTGGTCCTGTCTAAAAACATTTGATTGAAAGGAGAAAGAAGAAAATGGGAGATTAAGCCTCACTTTCAGTGACTCAGGCTCCCTACTAAAAGAGCTACCTACAGTCGGTCAAGTGTCCGACTTAAGCTCAGGTCATGATCTCACGGTTCGTGAGTTTGAGCCCCACGTCGGGCTCTGTGCTGACAGCTAGCTCAGAGCCTGGAGACTGCTTCAGATTCTGTGTCTCCCTCTCTCTGACCCTCCCCTGCTCAGGCTGTCTCTCTCTCTCAGAAATAAATTTTTAAAAATACATTAAAATTTTTTAAATAAAAAAATAAATAAAAGAGCTACCTAGTGTAGGAAATCAATCAACTAAAAGTATATTCAGTTTTTAGTCCCTAAGTGGTAAGAAGTAATCCCAGGCCCAGAGTAAACACCAAAGGTGAGAATCTGGGTGGAAAGACCTGCAAGCTAGGAAGGGAAGTGGAGTCTTAGAAAAGGCCTTTCCAAGAGTAAAACTAACAGAGGACATGGCTGGCCATGTGGAAGAAAAATGTTAATGGGGAATAAAAGTTTCAGTGTCAAAACAAAAAGATATGATATCCCTTGAAGGAATCCTCCAAGGATGCTTCTGAAGAAGGAGTTACTCCTATAGATATGAGGTGTAAGTGTTCCAAGCTCTAAATGAGATAATATGTAAAAGCACTTAGAACAGTGCCTGGCACTGTTAGCTCTTATTTTAGTGGTATTATTATCAACAGTATTAATATTCCATTTTACCTGAGCAATCCTAATGACTCTTCCTCACTGTATTCCCTACCACCCTGATCTCACAGTAACAGAAAGTAAAGCTACTAGACCAGTTTTCCTAGCCCTATCCCCTCCCCTCTTCGATTTAAAGAATAAATGTGACATCATCCATCATTAGGAAAATGGAAATCGAAACCAAGATGAGATACCACTTCACACTCACTGGGATGGCTGTAATCAAAAAGACAAACAAACAGCAAGTGTTGAGAAAGATGTGGAGAAATTAGAACACTCATACGCAGTTGGGAGAAATGTAAAATGGTGTAGCCACTTTGAAAACAGTCTGGCAATTCTTCAGAAAGTTAAATGTTGTATTATCATGTGACTCAGCAATTCCACACCTAGGTATATACCTAAGACAACTGAAAGTATGCAGCCTATTTTTACACAAATTTGTACATGAGTGTTCCTAACAGCATTCATAATAACCAAAAGGTAGAAGCAAAGCAAAATGTCCAGCAAGTGATCAATGGATTTTAAAAATGTGATAATTGGGCACCTGAGTGGCTCACTTGTTAAGCATCTGACTTAGGCTCAGGTCATGATCTCTCATTTTGTGAGTTCGAGCCCCACATCAGATGAGCTCAAGCCCCGCTTCAGATGAACACGAACTGCTTCAAGTGAGCCCCACTCCCCTCCACCCTCTCTCTCTCACTCCCCCTTCTCTCCACCCCTTATGGGATTCTGTCTCTTTCTCTCTCTCTCTGCCCCTTGCTCACTTGCGCCCTCTATGTCTCTCTCAAAAAATTAAAAATAAAAATGATAAGCAACAGATGAATGGATAAATAAAATATGGTATATTTTACATACATAGTAAATACAATAGAATATTATTCAGCCTTATAAAGAAGGAAATTGTGACATGCTACAATATGGATGAACCTTAAGGACATTATGCTAAGTGACATAAGCAAGTCAAAAAAAGGCAAATATTTTATGATTCCACTTACATAAGTTATCTAAAGTAGTTCACATTTATAGAAAGTAAAATGATGGTTATCAGGGGGGAGGAGAAACTAGGCATAGAGTTGTTTACTAGGCATAGAGTTAACAGTTCTGCAAGATGGAAAAGGTCTGGAGGTCTGTTGCACAACAATGTGAATGAATGTACTTAATACCACTGAACTGTAAATTTAAAAATGGTTATGGTAGTCAACAATATGTTACATGTTTTTACAATTTTAAAAAATGAAAAATGAAAAAAGTGACATGTGCATACAATGGAACATTACTTAGTTATAAAAAGGAATGAAGTACAGATACATGACTATGACTTAGCTGAACCTTGAAAACATTCTGCTAAGTGAAAGAAGCCAGACATAAAAGACCATACATTATATGATCCCATACATGTGTAATATCAAGCATAGGCAAATCCATAGAGATGGAAAGTAGATTAGTGGATGTCAGAGGCAGAGGAGAGAAGGTAATGGGGAGTGAATGCAATGAGTAGGAGGTTTCTTTTGGGGGTGATGAAAATGTTCTGGAATTAGATAGTAGTAATGGTACACACCTCTGTTCTAAAAAGCACCGAATTATACACTTCAAAGGGTGAATTTTGTGGTATGTGAATTATACATCAATAAAACTGTTCTAAGAAGTATCCCCCCTGACTTAGTTAAGTGTCTGGTCTTTGGTTCTTGATTTTGGCTCAGGTCATGATCTCATGGTTTGTGGGTTCGAGCGCCTGGTTGGCTCCATGCTGACAGCACCAGAGCCTACTTGGAATTCTCTCTCCTTCTCTTTCTGCCCCTCCCCCACTCGTGCACACACTCTTTCTCTCTCAAAATAAATAAGTACTCAAAAAACAAAAATCAACTTTCAAAAAAATAATGCTGTTCTAAAAAAAGAATAAATGTGGACATTAATATTTTTAAGTCCACTTTATGACAGAAGTGAGTGAAAAAGAATAGCTATGAAACTCAGAAACATTATAAACAGGAATACCCGAGTCTTCAGGAGAATTAGCCTATTTCTTCCATTCTCTACAAATTCCTTTGTTTTACTGTTTGGTATTTTGCAAATGCTTTATTTTTTTTTTTTAAATTAGCTTCCTATTATTTTGCACACGAGCATATATGTGTGTCTAGCTTTATTGAGACAATTGATGTATAACATTGTGTTAGGCGTACAATGTAATGATTATAGATATATGTGTATACTGTGAAATGATTTCCACAATAAACCCTCCTATCATTTCTTATTCTCTAACTAACTTATTCTCAGTTTTACTCTCTCACTCTCTTCTACCTACCTTCTTTTTCTCTTATGTAATCAATGTGTATATATATGTGTGTGTGTGTGTGCATGTGGGGGGGTGTACACACACACAATTAGGTCTGCTGATGTTTTTGTGATCATGTGTCTAGATATATTTTTGAGTACAGAGGTGTGGACAAGAATGGTTCCAAATATCTGTGTATCTATGCTTGAATCTTCACATCAGTTGTTTGGTTGGGAACATCATAAGGCTAAAACTCAGAGGGAATTGTGTTTTTTATGAGTGCCAAGCAGTACTGGTATGCCAGTGCCTTATCATGCTCTCAAAAGGTTAGTTTTTTTCTTGTACCATTGGCAGAATTTGCAACACACTAACATCAGAGAGCGGTAGTGTGGCCTGTTGTTATGAACACATAGGATTCCAACAGGCAGAGCTAAGTTGTCTGCGTAATTCTGTGTTTTTTTTTTTTTAAAGAAAAAGCATTTCTTCTCAAACTCCATTAAGATTATAGTAAACATTTACAGAAAGAAGCAAATCCATCTTGATACTCAAAGCAGGAGGGAGAGAAACCAGAGATTTTTGTGATTTCTGAAAACAGAAAGCA